CCGTTCCTGACCGCCCTCTGTTAGCTTCTTCCTCACTGTACAGTGGGGCTGAGCCCACAGCATGCGATACTTTTCGCTTGGTGAGGGAACACCAAAGGACAGGGGCAGGTAGAGGACAACGTGATTTTCAGTGGGCTTGCTCCCGGGCCATGCCAACTAACGGTTGTGTCTGTCGTACCCACCGAACCGTTGGCTGTAGGTGTCCAGAGGTGACCTGGGAAGAGGAAGACGACCGAGCCAACCAAATTCGATGACGGCAGGGTTGTCGGTGGAGACACGACCGCTGGATGACAACACCGGAAGCACTGGCCTCTGGCTGCGACATATTGCTGCCTCGACCCCTTCCTCTGCTGCCACACGTCTGCTCGCTCCTAAAACATTGCCTCCCTCCTCTGCCACTCCTCTGCATGTTGTCTGGACATACTCTTTAATTCAACATTATGTGTCCCTGAGTAACAATTCTGTGTCTGTCCCTGAGTAACAATTCTGTGTCCCTAAGTAACAGTTCTGTGGCCCTCAGTAACAAAATCTGTGTCCCTGAGTAACAATTCTGTGGCCCTAAGTAACAGTTTCTGTGGCCCTCAGTAACAAATCTGTGTCCCCTGAGTAACAATTCTGTGGCCCTATGTAACGGTTCTGTGGCCCTCAGTAACAATTCTGTGTCCCTGATTAACGTTTATGTGGCCCTAAGTAACAGTTCTGTGGCCCTCAGTAACAATTCTGTGTCCCTGAGATAACAATTCTGTGGCCCTAAGGTAACGGTTCTGTGGCCCTCAGTAACAATTTCTGTGTCCCTGAGTAACAATTCTGTGGCCCTAAGTAACGGTTCTGTGGCCCTCAGTAACAATTCTGTGTCCCTGATTAAACGTTTTATGTGGCCCTAAGTAACGGTTTCTGTGGCCCTCAGTAACAATTCTGTGTCCCTGAGTAACAATTCTGTGTCTGTGCGAGTAACAATTCTGTGGCCCTAAGTAACAGTTCTGTGGCCCTCAGTAACAATTTTTTGTGTCCCTGAAGTAACAATTCTTTGTCTGTGCGAGTAACAATTCTGTGGCCCTAAGTAACAGTTCTGTGGCCCTCAGTAACAATTCTGTGTCCCTGAGTAACAATTCTGTGTCTGTGCGAGTAACAATTCTGTGGCCCTAAGTAACAGTTTCTTGGCCCTCAGTAACAATTCTGTGTCCCTGATTAACGTTTCTGTGGCCCTAAGTAACGTTCTGTGGCCCTCAGTAACAATTCTGGTGTCCCTGATTAACGTTTATGTGGCCCTAAGTAACGGGGTTCTGTGGCCCTCAGTAACAATTCTGTGTCCCTGAGTAACAATTCTGTGTCTGTGCGAGTAACAATTCTGTGGCCCTAAGTAACAGTTCTGTGGCCCTCAGTAACAATTTCTGTGTCTGTCCCTGAGTAACAATTCTGTGGCCCTAACTAACGTTTCTGTGGCCCTAAGTAACAGTTCTGTGGCCCTCAGTAACAATTCTGTGTCTGTCCCTGAGTAACAATTCTGTGGCCCTAACTAAAGTTTCTGTGGCCCTAAGTAACAGTTCTGTGGCCATCAGTAACAATTCTGTGTCTGTCCCTGAGTAACAATTCTGTGGCCCTAACTAACGTTTCTGTGGCCCTAAGTAACAGTTCTGTGGCCCTCAGTAACAATTCTGTGTCTGTCCCTGAGTAACAATTCTGTGGCCCTAACGTTTCTGTGGCCCTAAGTAACAGTTCTGGGGGATTGGCCCTCAGTAACAATTCTGTGTCTGTCCCTGAGTAACAATTCTGTGGCCCTAACTAAAGTTTCTGTGGCCCTAAGTAACAATTCTCTGGCACTCAGTAACAATTCTGTCTGTCCCTGAGTAACAATTCTGTGGCCCTAATAACGTTTCTGTGGCCCTCAGTAACAATTCTGTGTCTGTCCCTGAGTACAATTCTGTGGCCCTAATAGAACGTTTTCTGTGGCCCTAAGTAACAATTCTCTGGCACTCAGTAACAATTCTGTCTGTCCCTGAGTAACAATTCTGTGGCCCTAACTAGCGTTTCTTTGGCCCTAAGTAGCGATTCTGTGGCCCTCATTAAACAATTCTGTGTCCCTGAGTAACAATTCTGTGTCTGTGCGAGTAACAATTCTGTGGCCCTAAGTTACAGTTCTGTGGCCCTCAGTAACAATTCTGTGGTCCCTGATTAACGTTTCTGTGGCCCTAAGTAACGGTTCTGTGGCCCTCAGTAACAATTCTGTGTCCCTGATTAACGTTTATGTGGCCCTAAGTAACGGTTCTGTGGCCCTCAGTAACAATCTGTGTCCCTGAGTAACAATTCTGTGTCTGTGCGAGTAACAATTCTGTGGCCCTAAGTAACAGTTCTGTGGCCCTCAGTAACAATTCTGTGTCTGTCCCTGAGTAACAATTCTGTGGCCCTAACTAAAGTTTCTGTGGCCCTAAGTAACAGTTTCTGTGGCCCTCAGTAACAATTCTGTGTCCTGTCCCTGAGTAACAATTCTGTGGCCCTAACTAGCGTTTTCTTTGGCCCTAAGTAACGATTCTGTGGCCCTCATTAACAATTCTGTGTCCCTGAGTAATGTTTCTCTGTCCCCAAGTAACGTTTCTGTGGCCCTAACTCTGTCCCTAATACAGAGCGGTCTGCCTCTGTTCAATGACTGGAGGCAAATGAAGAATTCTAAAAATGGCCGCTATTTATAGCTCGACCATTACACAGTGCTGGCTGGCTGGCTGCTGATTGGCTAATGCGATCACATGTCATTAAGGAATGCATTATGGGTCAGCGCGCCTTGTCTGCGCGCCTTCGCCAGACATCCCCGCTCCGTCGCCGCACATGTCCGCCGCCATTTTAGGAAAAATTTTCGATATTCGACCTCGAATTCCACTTCGCCTACTTCGATTCGCTCATCTCTAGTTACTTTATATATTTTTTATAGCCGAAAGTACAAAATATTGTTTTTCTTCCAAATTTTTGGTCTTTTTTTGTTTATGGCGTGAAAAATAAAAAGCGCGCAGCAGGTGATGACATCCCACCGACAGAAAGCTCTATTTGTGTGAAGAAAGGACGGATATTTAGTTTGGGTGCAGCGTTGCACGACCGCGCAATTGTCAGTTACATAAAGAGGCGTGGCCATGAAGGGGTGTACATCCTGCGTAGGGGGAGGGGATAAGGACACAAATTGGCGCTTTATTCTCATGGAGATCACATGTTTATTACTAGGAGGGACGGAAACATTTGCTGGGTATTGGAGCTTTTGTGAGATGGATGGATTGGATGGCGACTGATTTGTATGGAGACATAATATAGAGCGGGAGGAATCCATGGTGTATTGTCACATGTATGAATGCAGGATTGGGGTGCTATCCGTGTATTAGGGGGACCAATGACACCTTGGCTAGTATTGTAGATGAATCTGGGGGCGTCGGGGGCAATCTTCTTATGTTTATGGCCCTTTAGGGCAGATGTGATTTCTATGTATTTTATGGGAGATTTTCTCTGTATATTGGGAGTTTTCCATCTTGTTGTATCATGAATGTAGTATGGAAGATGAGTCCTATGTACTAGGAATGGTCATTGGAAGGACAGAATAGGAGCCACATGATTGGCTGGCCAACCCCGTGACAGTATAGACTAGTGGGTGACATTGATTGAGATCTGCCCGCTGTGTGTATATACAATCACCCCGCTAATGTCTAATATCAGGGGACAAAATGTGCCAGCTTTCATATCAGACTAAGGGAAAATGGCCGCCGGAGGAGGGACAGGCGGCCTACAACAAAATGGAGGACAAAGATCTAATCCACTGCACTGTAATGTGTATAACTGTACGAACATTGTATTAGACTAAGGGAAAATGGCCGCCGGAGGAAGGACAGGCGGGCTACAACAAAATGGAGGGAGATCTAATCCACTGCAATGAGATAACTGTGCATACATTGACAATAGAAGTTTACGATCCGCCATCGTCTTTTTTGTTTTTCAGTTTTTTCCCCTGTTTTAATGCTATTCAGCTTTTTTTGAACCAGCACCATCTAGTGTCTGCTCCTCCATGCTGCAGCTCTGTATAAAATTTGTCTGGAGTCACTTCTTGTCTGTGTCACTTCCTGTCCCGGAACACTTTCCTCCTTTCAGCCATTTTAGATCAGCTTCCAGACGATCCTGTGATTGTCGGTCTCCATCCTGAACACATGGCCACCATAGGGCCAGCATGGATCTTCTCCATGTCAGAGCACACGGGTAAGTCAGGTGGATCTCCTATTCCTGGTCCCGGCTCCTGTCCCTGCTATAGATGGACCAATCATCTGTGACCGAAACCTTCCTCCTCGTCATCGATGATCTGGGTGTATTATTATTAATTTATTCCAGGTACTTATATAGCGCCGTCAGTTTACATCTATATTGTACATTCCCATCAGTCCCCGCCCCCGAGGAGCGTACAATCTAAGGGCCCTAACTCACATTCATACATACACATACTAGGGACAACTTAGGAGACAATTCACCTCCCAGCATGTCTTTGTAGTGTGGGAGGAAACTGGAGTACCCGTACAGGAAAACCCACACAAGCACAGGGAGAACATGCAAACTCCAGGCAGGTGGTGCCCAGGGTTTGATTTGAACCAACAACCCGAGTACTGCCAGGTGGAAGTACTAACCACTCAGCCACTGTGCTGCCCCGTGCTGTATATATCTCAGCATCTACTTCTCAGTGTTGGTTTCCTCCTCATTGCCGGCCCATTAAATGGGCCTCAGAATGGCTCCGGTATACCCTTCCCAGGAAGGACATTCAGGCCGATCTCCCTCCCACCATGTTCCTCTGATGTGTCCGAGACAGAATAACAGGAGTAGACACCAGAAGAACCCGCTGGGACCTGACACTCCGAGAACCAGAGTTATGGTGGAGTATATAGACCCTTCCTGAGATACTCCTCCCTGGGAACGGTCATACCTCCGTACTCCTCTCCTGTACATACCCATCACTGTCATACCTCCGTACTCCTCTCCTGTACATACCCATCACTGTCATACCTCGTACTCCTCTCCTGTACATACCCATCACTGTCCATACCTCCGTACTCCTCTCCTGTACATACCCATCACTGTCATAACTCCACACTCCTCTCCTGTACATACCCTCACTGTCATACCTCTGTACTCCTCTCCTGTACATACCCATCACTGTCATACCTCCGTACTCCTCTCCTGTACATACCCATCACTGTCATACCTCCGTACTCCTCTCCTGTACATACCCATCACTGTCATACCTCCACACTCCCTCTCCTGTACATACCCATCACTGTCATACCTCCGTACTCCTCTCCTGTACGTACCCATCACTGTCATATACCTCCGTACTCCTCTCCTGTACGTACCGATCACTGTCATACCTCCCACACTCCTCTCCTGTACATACCCATCACTGTCATACCTCCCACACTCCTCTCCTGTACATACCCATCACTGTCATACCTCCGTACTCCTCTCCTGTACGTACCCATCCACTGTCATACCCTCCACACTCCTCTCCTGTACATACCGATCACTGTCATACCTCCCACACTCCTCTCCTGTACATACCGATCACTGTCATACCTCCCACACTCCTCTCCTGTACATACCCATCACTGTCATACTTCCCACACTCCTCTCCTGTACATACCCATCACTGTCATACCTCCGTACTCCTCTCCTGTACATACCCATCACTGTCATACCTCCGTACTCCTCTCCTGTACATACCCATCACTGTCATACCTCCGTACTCCTCTCCTGTACATACCCATCACTGTCATACCTCCACACTCCTCTCCTGTACATACCCATCACTGTCATACCTCCGTACTCCTCTCCTGTACGTACCCATAACTGTCATACCCTCCACACTCCTCTCCTGTACATACCGATCACTGTCATACCTCCCACACTCCTCTCCTGTACATACCGATCACGGTCATACCCCCACACTCCTCTCCTTTACATACCCATCACTGTCATACCTCTGTACTCCTCTCCTGTACATACCCATCACTGTCATACCTCCGTACTCCTCTCCTGTACATACCGATCACTGTCATACCTCTGTACTCCTCTCCTGTACATACCCATCACTGTCATACCTCCGTACTCCTCTCCTGTACATACCCATCACTGTCATACCTCCGTACTCCTCTCCTGTACATACCCATCACTGTCATACCTCCGTACTCCTCTCCTGTACATACCCATCACTGTCATAACCTCCGTACTCCTCTCCTGTACATACCCATCACTGTCATACCTCCGTACTCCTCTCCTGTACATACCCATCACTGTCATACCTCCGTACTCCTCTCCTGTACATACCCATCACTGTCATACCTCCGTACTCCTCTCCTGTACATACCCATCACTGTCATACCTCCGTACTCCTCTCCGTACATACCCATCACTGTCATACCTCCGTACTCCTCTCCTGTACGTACCCATCACTGTCATACCTCCGTACTCCTCTCCTGTACGTACTGTCATGGAAATTTTGTATTGTTGGTCGAACTTTAAATGTGTCATGTATTCGTGTTATTCATATGTCTCTCGTGTGGCTTAATTAAAGCTCTGAAGGCTGCAATTGGGCCATGCGCATGTACAATGTATGTATTACAGTACTCAGCTTGGTAATGGATGAGATGGCAGATCTGCGCTTATAGACCGGGCGTGTATACCACCACGGCATTCGATGCGAATGCTGCTGTCAGTAGACCGTGGGCCTGTATCCACATATCAGCAGCATGGTACCACGTGGGCTTCATAACGCAAGGCGCAAGCGGTGTGAACTCCGCGTGTAGGCTTATGCATATCTTACAACCCATTACAAATCTGAACTGTATCCGGATGGATGTGTTTTAATAAAGATCGTATCGGGCCCATCCCAGGTACAGACTGATATTTTTAGGAGATGCTTGTACAAAGAATTTACATACCAATAGAAGCTAGTAGGACAGGAAATATGACCTCAGATGGCTCATGGGGGGGAAGGGGAGGAAGTCTGCTGACCTCAGAAGACTCATGGGGAGGACCAGTGATAGATAATAGGAAAGGCTATGCTCCAATTGGAATGTACATCCTATGTATAGGCACTCCCCATTGCATTGTTCGGTGGGAGGGGATTGACTTTATTCATGTGGGGGGCATGTGTGTATTTTATAATAAAACAGAGAGCTGGGTCTAAAATCAGCCCTTATGTGGATTGCAACCAGCCTTAGAGTGTCGTGTGATCATTCTAGGTAACGGAGCTCCAATTCTCCCACAATTCAACAGAACCAAAGTATTTGGATGGGCAGGAATCGTGTAGTTTAGCTGCAGTCGTGGTAAGCGGGATTCGCACAGCTTTATGGGGGATTTCTGCGCATCCAACTGCGAGTACTCACGGTAAGGAGAAATTCGTTAAAGCGAATTTCCAAGACAGTACCGATCACTGTCATACCTCCCACACTCCTCTCCTGTACATACCGATCACTGTCATACCTCCCACACTCCTCTCCTGTACATACCGATCACTGTCATACCTCCCACACTCCTCTCCTGTACATACCGTTCACTGTCATACCTCCCACACTCCTCTCCTGTACATACCGATCACTGTCATACCTCCCACACTCCTCTCCTGTACATACCGATCACTGTCATACCTCCCACACTCCTCTCCTGTACATACCCATCACTGTCATACCTCCGTACTCCTCTCCTGTACGTACCCATCACTGTCATACCCTCCACACTCCTCTCCTGTACATACCCATCACTGTCATACCTCCGTACTCCTCTCCTGTACATACCGATCACTGTCATACCTCCCACACTCCTCTCCTGTACATACCCATCACTGTCATACCTCCGTACTCCTCTCCTGTACATACCCATCACTGTCATACCTCCGTACTCCTCTCCTGTACGTACCCATCACTGTCATACCCTCCACACTCCTCTCCTGTACATACTGATCACTGTCATACCTCTGTACTCCTCTCCTATACATACCGATCACTGTCATACCCCCCACACTCCTCTCCTGTACATACCCATCACTGTCATACCTCCACATTCCTCTCCTGTACATAACGATCACTGTCATACCCCCGCACTCCTCTCCTGTACATACTACCCACCATCGTATCATCTGCAACTCCTCTCTTACATTTACTACCTGCAGTTATGCTCTTCTTCTTAAATTGGGGAATAACTCGATGACTTACATACTTTTCAGACCTTGTGAATTATTCTTGGCTGTTTTGAAAATAATACACTTTAATTTGTATTTCATGATAAATCCTGCCTCATCTCTGCCTCTCTACCTGCAGCCTAACAATGAGGTGTGCATGCAGCCACTGATCTATTTCTGGCTTTTGTCTCTCAGTCATTCTAATGTTCATTTCTCCAAACGTCCTCCAGGACAGCCTTCCTGAGACAGAGCTCCTCCTTCTGGGACAGGAAACATGTAAGCACAGTACTATAAAAGGTGGATCACCAGGGCCTCCCTCCTGAGTTTTTAGTGTTTCCTCTGCAAGGATGGGTGCAGTCATCAAGGAACTGATTGTCGAAGTCCTGGGCCCTAGAGGTTGCTGGTGGCTCCTGGTCTGTCTTACTTCCTCCTTACCGACGCGATCCCTTCAGGGGAAGTGGGGTTGCTCTCCTGATGTCCTTCCATGCCTCAGTGGATGATGACCATCATCGGGGGTGTCCTGAGGGGTCCAGGACCTTTTGATGCCTGTCGTTGTCCTTCCCGAGGGGGGGGGGCTCCAGCATCCGATGCACAATGGGGCAGAGTGACTGCCAAGCAGGCGTGCAAGTACCCGCAACTTCTGGGTGCTGTTCAGGAACCGGAAGTTACGGCTGCTGTGACGTCATTGACAGGTGCCGGAGACTCGTGGTTCCAGTCTCCATATTAGCACTGCAGCCAGTCTGGAGTACAGACCCAGCAGAGCCTTTGGCTCTACACCAAAGAGGGATGGATGGAAGGCGCTGGCACTTCTCAGGCAGACTCTGGTCCTTCAAGCACTGGCTCCTCTAAGGTAAGCTTGGGGACTCTGATCCCTCTTGATGACCCTGGTGGGCACACTTCCTTTTCTTGTTCCCCCAGCACAGTGGTTTTGTATGAGGCGCCCTGGGCTGATTATTTTCTGTATTGTGTCTTTTCTTGCTCATTGTATGTTAAAGTCCAGGACAAGGTGCAGAGTCAGACCCCCAAGAAGAAGTGTGCAGTTTGTGCAGCTAAATTGGGTTCAGCTTGGGAAAACCCTTATGCTGCAATTGTGTGGCTAGCCTAATTAAGGATGTCATTTACAGCCTGCCATAAAGTGCTCACCTCCATTAAGGATGACATGTTCTATACATTTCAATCCTTTTATTATTATTATTATTATTATACAGTATTTATAAAGCGCCAACAGTTCGCTCAGTGCTGTACAATTACAATGGGAGACAGTACATGAGACAGTACAATAACAATACAATGTGATACATGAGGGGTTCGAGGGCCCTGCTCCTTGGAGCTTTCAATCTAGGAGGGAGGGGATAGTAGTATGGGAGGAAAATCTGTGGGTTGGAATGGTAGGAGGAGTGGAGGAGATCGGCAGTTAGCAGAGGGTGGGGTAGGCTTCCCTGAAGAGGTGGGTTTTTAGGGTGCGCCTAAAGGAGAGGAGAGTGGGTGATAGTCTGATGGATTGGGGTAGGGAGTTCCAGAGGATGGGTGATGTCCTGGAGGCGAGCATGGGAGGAGGAGATCAGGGAACTAGAGAGAAGGCGGGTCTTGTGAGGAGCAAAACATATGTTTTTTGGGTGGTAGATGGATATTAGGTCGGTGATGTAGTTTGGGAAGAACTATTGACAGCTTTGTACGTCAGTGTTAGCATTCTGAATTTGATCCGTTGGGCAATCGGAAGCCAGTGGAGGGATTGGCAGAGAGGGGTGGAGGCCAGTGGAGGGATTGGCAGAGAGGGGTGGAGGCAGAGGGGGGTGGCAGAAGCGGAGCGGTTGGTGAGGTGGATGAGTCTGGCTGCCGTGTTCAGGATTGACTGAAGCGGGATAACCAGCGGTGAGGCAGGCCAGTGAGGAGGGAGTTGCAGTAGTCGAGTCGTGATATGATGAGGGAGTGGATGAGCTGTTTGGTGGTTTCTGGGGTTAGGAACGAGCGGATTTTGGCGATGTTGCGGAGGTGGAGTCTGCATGAGTTTGTTAGCGATTGGACTTGGGGCTGGAAGGATAGATTGGAGTCTAGTTTGACACCAAGTACTCTGGCTTGCGGGGTGGGCTTGATGGTGGCATGGTTGGGCGTGATGGAGAAGTCAGTGGGGATGGTGTGCGGGCTGGGGGGAAGACTAGGAGCTCGGTTTTGGAGAGGTTCAGTTTAAGGAAGTGGAGTGACATCAGTCTGATATGTCGTTCAGTAGGCTGGTGATTCGGCGGAGACTGAAGGGGTGAGGCGAGGGGTCGAGAGATAGATTTGCGTGTCGTCGGCATAGAGGTGGTAGTTGAAGCCGTGGGAGTGTATCAGTTAGCCAAGGGAGG